TGGTCCTCCAGGAGCTCTGATGAAATCTCAAAGCTGGTTCTTTCATCCTTATAGTTTTGCTCAAGTCTTTAATGCAATTCTGAATAAATACTGTTCTATCTGTAGTTGGCGACTGCAGATCTACATGCTGCAGACTCCTCTCAATAAATACAGATATCACCGAAAAGGTGAAATATCTCAGTCACTCTGTTCAGAAAAGGGAAGTGCATCTATTATAGATGTTCATTAAACACAAAGGGATTGTTTCTCTTGAAAATGAAAGCATCCTAATGATGCTCTAAAACTTCCTAATTTGTGGCTGAACTTATTTTAGAATTAATATCAGCAGATGGTATAAATTAGCTAAAATGTCTCTTGTGAAGTTAATCTATAAAAGTGATGTTTTATTTCTAAATCACATAACAGATGAATAGAAATGTTTCAGTTCTATTCTGAGTAGAGAGGCTCCTGCTTGCACACAGAGCTACCTCTGCGTTTAAGGTTGGCTCCCTTTGGAACATGTTAACATCTGCTGTCTGTCTTCCAGCTGTCCCGTCGTGGGCTGTGGAAACTCAGACGTAAAAGAGTCCGACCTTATCCCCGACCAGATACTGAGGAGGAGGATCCAGCGCCAAAAAGGACAAGTCAACAAGACAAGTTTTGCAACTCTGTGAATTAGATTTGTATATCTGTAATATTTGCTCTAAGAGCAGTCATTGGTTAATTTTTTAACCAGTTTAATTTCTGTTAAACATGTTGAGTGGTCACTTTATTTCTATCTGGAGGGGTAAATCTTTCTAAATAAAGGTTAATAAAATAATTAATTGCTTTAAGTGTTTTGATGCAGTGCATTAGATAAACCATCAGAGGGCGCTGTTTCCCTAACCTCATGGAAACCAACTTAAATCATGGATTTTAAACCTTTATCCTCAGATTTAGATGTTATTATTAGCAGTGATGACCGCAGCTCTTCTGCCTCTCCTCTTGGTGAACTCTCTATGCTTCACTTGCACATGACGCTTCATCACAAGTAAACCATAAAAATCTTGCTTTATTTAAATGACGGTCCATTATTCTCAGGAGGAAAAGCCCCCTGACATAAAAGGATTTCCTGGAGCAGGAATGTGAACAAGCTATAAACAGTGTTCTGTAACCTCAGTAGGAAATGCTCTTAGGTGATTACATTTCTCCATAAATGCTGTGAAAGACTATTGTTCCACATAGAAACAAACAAAGGCTGCGTTGAGATGGAACTAGGTGAAGCTAATCTTCTTAATATGCTTGCATCACCATTCTTGGAAAACTAATAGCTCCGTCCATACGAGGCATGTGTTACACTGCAGTCAAAGCATTTTGCAAGTGGAGAAATTAACCAGCTCTGAAAGCTCTGACTGATGTTGACTCTTTATTTTCATCTAGAGGTAATTTGGAAATCATTCACTGTGAAAAATGCAAACCCAAATCAGTGTTTCATTCAACAGCAGGGCTTTTCTAAGCTGTTTTGAAAGGATAATATTTCAGAAATATCTCAAAAGAAATGAAAAAAAATATAGTTTAAAGTTTAAAACTGGATGTTTTTTTTACACACTTCTCTAAGGGCTGAAAATGGTAGCTATAAGCCTGGATATTTGGCTCAACCATGAAGGGTTTTACCTTTGACTGCCTGGAAGTGAGCATGTGTTGACCTAGGCTTCACACAAGAGCATCCACAGCAGTGAGGATTGAGTCGGGTGGAGAGGGAGGACACTGAGGCAGGGATAGAACTGATGCTAGAGCAAAGTTCTGATTGGATCCAGGGGCCATTCTTGGCCAGGTCCTAAGAGTTTGACCCCAACATCAAAAACGTGATGTGGATGTTTCCACATGGTGACTTGATAAAGAACAGCAGCATTTAATGGCATCACTGGTAAAGATGTGGGGAGTAGAATTTACTGAATTTTCATATTGAAGGAGAAAAACGTTCAACATTCATCGGATGCTGTCCAAACAGCAGCTGGTTGTAGGAAAAAAACAGAGGGAAAAAAGTTCATCCTTCACTGATATAAATGTGCATAGTTTTGCACTGTGAGCTTAAGCTAATACAGTAAGATAGTATGAAGTACAGTGGTGTCCAGCAAGGGGCTTTTGAATTTAATTGTAGGCCTGTGGTCCTTCTGCAAGGAGCTAGTTTCCTTTTGGGTTCTCAGGATTTCCCCCACAGTCGTTTATTCAAATTAGCCTTAAGTGACATCATGCTTGCAGGGTGTTTGTCTAAGTCTGGACTGGTGATCTGTCAGGGTTCACCTTCACCTCTTTCACAATGCAGAAGATAGACACTAACCGCCCTGAAGCACAGTTGACTACATCAAATAAAAGGTGAATTTATGCCGTGTAACAACAACAGTTGCTGCTAATGAGTAATCTTAGGTTTCCCTTCTAAAGTGGATAGAACTGCTCTTGCTTGCAGGGCTACATGGACTTGACTGAGAGTGCTGAAAACCTGTTTCCAGAAATCTAATGATTCATCCTGTTGCTATGATTATTAACAGGAAAGCAAACGACCATCAACATCCATTTTGTTTCAGGATTATAAAAATGTGAAAAACAAATCTCCATGGAGCTGATCTGTTGTCTCCGTTTGCATACATAGCTTCATTCTGGGTACTCTGATCTCCTTCCACACTCCAACAACTTTCTAGGAAGGTTAATCGTTTACCTGAAATCCCCCTCAGGTATGAGGTAGCACACGTTTATTTGTGTTTCTGCTTTGCCCTCTGATAACTTTCAACCTATGCAGAGTCTTTTCTATTCTTTCACTCATTGATCGCTGGGGATGGACTCCATCTCTACAAGGATAAGTGGGTATGGATGGAAATCTGGTCTGCACTGATAGGCTGTTAATAAGACGAGAAAAAAGTTTAAGGCAGAAGAAGCCAAGGCTGTGTTTTCTGAAATAAGCTTTAAATAGGCCGTACTCTTAGAGGTACATGTCAATAAAATGGAAAACCATAGAAAAGTTATTACTTATAGAAAAATACACACTAATACATTTCAATTGATGAATATGTTGTCGATCTGAGTAACAGCTAATTAAAAACCAGAATACAAAGATAAAAAATTGTCATGACCATGTTGTTTATGCAGTTAGGGGGATAACAGAGTTTTCTGTGAGACCACAGTCTAAACAAGTCAATGGAAAGTTGAGTGGAAGGAAAAAGTGTGGGAGAAAAGTACACAAGTAACAGGGATCCTGGAGGATTGTAAGCAGGGGAGCTGCCAGGAATTTGGGGCTCCATGAAAGACATTATCGCCCCCACCCCCCATAAAATAAAATGTATGCAAGCTTTAAAACTGCTATCAAGATGCACTGAAGAGTATCATTTACATATTCAATGTAATTTTTATTGTAAAATTTCTACAAAGGAAAATGATCAGAACAAGAAAAAGTTAGATATACATTAACTTGAAATTGCATAAACTGGTGGATTAAAAACTTAGTATCTTAAATGTCTATTGGGACATATCTTTTCTTCTTCTTTTGCCCCCCCATTCCCCTCTGATTTCTTCAGGAGTTTCGGGATGATTTAAAAAGGAGCAGTCTCCAGCAGGAGTTAGTGCTTTAAGAACTAATATATTGGCAAAAATATTTAAGAATTCATATTTAAACTTCCCAATGAAAGCAGTCAATCTTTAAGGTAATATTCTGGTTTAGTTAGACCTATATGGTACATAAGTAATAAAATAATTAGCAGTTTTGTCTTTTACTACTTTATACCCACAATATATGAACCTGAACTCCTATTATTTTTATTGACATGAATGCTTTTATAATGGTTTTCTGTTTATAAATAGAAAAATGTAATTACAATGAATTTACCTGTTTAGCAGGCATTTTCCTCTATTGAATAAGTGCTCAAATAATTAACCAAAAATAAAAGCTAAAGTGATACCAGAATGATCAAGATACACACAATGTAGGGAAAAATGAAACAAAAAGGCAGTAAAAATGGAAGTGAAATCTAAACCTTCCTAAAAGGATGACTGTTTGTTTGTCAGCAGCAAAACAGAAGCCATTCTCATTGGCACCCCACACCAAACCAAGTCCTTCTCCCTAAACAGTATCCCTATCTTCGGTCAAAACATCCCTCTGTCCTCATCTGTCACAAACCTTGGTGTCAAATTGGATCCACATCTCACGTTTGACTCCCACATACGTCACCTCTGCAAGGTCTCTTTCCTCCACCTCAGAAACATCGCCAAACTCCGCCCCTCCCTTTCCCAACCCGACGCAGAAAAGCTAATCCATGCCTTTGTCTCCTCCAGATTGGACTACTGTAATGCCCTCCTCGTCGGGGTCCCTGGCAAAAGTCTACAAAAGCTGCAGCACATCCAGAACTGTGCTGCCCGGGTCCTGACGAGGAGGCGCAAACACGAACACATCACTCCAGTCCTCAGGTCCCTTCATTGGCTGCCCATCCAACACAGAATAGATTACAAACTTTGCCTCCTCACTCACCAGTGCATACATGGAACTGCCCCGGCTTACCTCAAGGAACTCCTCACACCTCACACCGCCTCCAGAACCCTCCGCTCCACCACCTCCACCCACCGACTGCACCAGCCAAGAGTCAAGCTCTGCACAATGGGAGATAGGGCCTTCCAGGCAGTTGCCCCACAACTCTGGAATGGCCTCCCAGAGTCCCTTAGGGTCCCACAGAGTGTGGAGGCCTTCAAGAAAGGCCTCAAGACATTTTTATTTAAAAAAGCCTATGAACATTAGTTAGTATTTTATCTGTGTGGTTTTATGGTTATTTTACTGTTTTGTTTTTACTACGTATGTTATTTTACTGTAATGTCTCATTTTAACTATGTATACCGTTTTTATTATACGGTTTTGTTTTAACTATGAATTTTGTAGCACTTTGAGATTTTTTTTAAATGTAAAGTGCAATACAAATAAAATGTATTATTATTATTATTATTGTTTTAATTCAAATGTTTTCTGGTCAAGGTTTACTGTCCCTTTAAATGACACCTCCTCCCAGCAGTCAGTAGATCCTGAACAAGAATGTTGCAACAAACACTGAGCTTCATACAACAGGCAGCCTGTCTGTGCAGCAGAGGCGCAACAAGCCACAGCACAGGAAGAGGAAGGACTATAGGTGAGTTCCCCACAGATGTAAGCTTTGAATGAAGCTGATTGGTATTTCAGCAATGCAGCGTCCATTTAGCTCAAATGCATCCAAACACCCTGTAGTCTCCACCTGCCGCAGAGTTCAACAGGAAATGTGAGCCAACAGGTGATTCAGGTCACACCTGTTGGGAATGAGCGCTAAGCTGGAGTAAAACTGGGCCTTCAATCTCCTTAAAAACTGCCAACTTTTTTTGGTTTCCTCACAGGCTTCAGGAGCTGGCAGCTGGACATGGACCACTGGTGCTCCTCCTCACCGTTTTGGATTTAAATTCAGGCTCTGCGCCCCCTTCCTCCTCCTGCTCCTCCTCCTGAGGTGAGAGCGCAGAGAACAGGTGGATCCTGTCTGCGTGTCTGTCTGCAGTTTATTCCCTGCTGCCGCTGTCTTTATGGGGAACCAGGTGGAGAAACTAACGCATATCAATTACGCGGAGGTGCCAACGTCGGACCCGAACGGATTCGACCCGGATGGCGACGGAACGCGGATCGGCGTCTCCTACATTTTCTCCAACGACGACGACGATCAGGATCAGGACGAGAGTTTGGATCACTTTCCTCCGGACAGCCGGCCGGTGAACCACGAAGAGAAACCCTTCGATCCAGAGGACGAGCTGGAGTGCGCCATCTACTACCGAGACGAGTGCGTCTACGGGAGGAGCTCCGGAGGCGCGTCTCTGTCCCCGGAGAGTCTCCTGGCCAAGTGCCGACCGGGGGACCTGCTGGAGTTCGTGGCCACCGGCCAGTACCCTCACTGGGCCGTTTACGTCGGAGACTTCCAGGTGGTTCATTTGCACCGAGCCGAGATCCACAACAACTTTCTAACCGACGTGAGTCAGGGCAGGAAGGGGCGGATAGTGAACGGCATGTACAGGCACCGTGCGCTCCCGCCGGAGGTGATCGTGCGCAACGCCATGGATCACGTCGGCACCAGAGACAGAGACCTGTGCTGGAGGAACTCGGAGTGTTTTGCTGCCTGGTGCCGCTTTGGCAGAAGGGAGTTTAAAATCGGAGGGGAGATAAGGATCGGGAAGCAGCCGTACAAGTTAAAACTGCTCTTCTCCGAGAAGAAGAGCCACATGTTGGAGTTTCAGTGCCTGGAGGACGTGATCATGGAGAAGAGGAGGAACGACCAGATCGGGAAAGATGCTGTGATGCAAGAGCTGGCCAACCATTTGAATACCACCAATGACCTCAAAGAGGAGCGCTTTGTGAACTGATGGAAGTTGTGGGGGATGATCTTCATCTGAAGGGTGAAGGAGATGTTTTGGCATGGTGTTAATTAATAGAGCAGCTATGCTCTTAATAAGGCAGTAGAAAGGTGGTGTCACTGCCAGCCGATGTGCAGATGGGAGTTTGTCTTCACAAGTGAAACATCTCTGAAATCTGGAGAAGCACTTGCTCTATTTGCTTTAGAAAGGAAGCTCCCAAGGCATGAGAAAATTATTCAATACCCTAATGTCACTGGCAAGTGAAAAAAATAACCTTAAATTCTTTCCTCTTGAATCCCAAGATTAACTTCATCTAATGACTTTGCAGGAGATCTACTTGCAGTCTAGGGAGAAAAAAATAAGAATTAAATGATCATTGATTATTTATTGAAGTGAATCCTTTCACGCTTGTGAGGAACCCTTAAGTGATCCGACCGAGTCCTGGAAGTGTTTGGACCCCAGTGAAAACTCAGGTGCTGGAAACTGATGCAGAGTGAGAGACAACCTGTAGCTTCTATCACTGTCTCCTCAGTGTTGAGGATTCCCATCTGTTGCTTAAAGCCAATCATCTCACAGCTTTACCTGTGGACTCTCCTGTTCATAGCCATAACTGTGCACCTTTAATGATTCATTACTTTTAACAGTTTATTTTTCTTAAAAAAAACAAAAACAAACAATGTTTGTATGAAGGCTTATGGAATAAATTTATATTTGAAGAGTGATGTTTTTTTAATTTATTTTTTTGAGGTCCATGTTTTCTGTTTTTTTTTTTTTTTTTTTTTTTTTTTTTTTTTGAAAGCAGATTTGGCCTCAGATACAAGCAAACCAAACAGCCTCCAAAAGTACTAGAGTTTTCACCCCATTGTGGAAGTTAGACCTCTGCTCTAATTCTGAGATCTAAAACCTCAGCATATATCTTATTCAAACTTATTGTAGTTTAAGTGCACATTTTTTAATTTGGGCTGAGCAAGTGCCTTATTAAAAGCTTTTAAGGTTAAAAAGCTTTTTAACTAATACATATCTAAAAAGAGTGATGTGCATTCACATAGTGAGAATAATACCATTATTGAAGGAATATCAGAAGTTATGTTTGTCATAAGTTATGAGAGGGGTTCAGAAAACATGAACATTTTAGCTATTAAATGACATGTAATCTTTAAAACATTATTCTGAGCACACCATGCCTACTCAGAGACACGGTGGTAGAGGCATGGTGCAAGGGGAGGGATTGGATGCAAATGCATCCAAAACTTCAGAATTTTCCTCTTTTTATGTTAAACTGTAAATATTCTGCTTCACCATTTCACACAACTGTGTTTCTCAGTCTGTCCCATCAATCCATAGTAATATATTGTTATTGTGGGTCAGAGCATGACAAGATGGGGGGGAAAAAGGGGGTGTTCTAATTTTAATGAGAATAATTTTCTATGGCACTATCTACATGAGAATAATATCATCTAGATAGTGTCATAATAATATTAGCTGCATTAGGCATAAAGGTTAGCATTTGTAAAATGATATAAAGGCAATAGATTTTGAAATCTGGTCCCTTAAAGCCATTCAATTCTTTCACATATCACAGATGTGCTGATATAGATTTAATTCAATATTCAAATCCCCAAAAGAAAAAACCAATCACAACAAAAATAAAACCAAACAAATGTTTTACTACATTTTAAACTAACTAGTGTTTTCAACTGAGGAGCCTCGGCCCGGCTTTAGATTTCTGCGGAAATTGATGTAGTACGACACGTAGATTTAGTAAGCTCCAATATTTGGCAGTTTTGATTTAAATGTTTGCCTTCCAAAGGCAGACATCAGCCTTTTTTGTATTCCAGCCATATGATGGCATTTTGCTTTGTTTACACCTCTGTTCAAAGATATGTCCTTATTTAAAAATATGCCCACAGGCTGAAATGTAATCTCCGCCATCATTTGTCATTCAAACCATTACTCTGAGTGTATTAAGTAAAATTCTACCTTTTTTTCTCTACACACAAATAGTTTCTCTATCTTATAAGATATACCACTGAGGTTAATTATTGTGTCTTTTTCTGATAAAAAAAATGACAAAAGACTGAAACGCAAAATGCCATCTGATGGTAAGAACACATCTGCGACGTCACAACTACAGATGATAGTATTTTATTTTCATTTCCACATCAACACATAGTAATGCTGCACTGCTAAGTGAAACATTAATGACTCCTGGATTTTTACAAACACAAATCTAAAAATGGTGTCATACATTTGTAGTTAGCCCCCTTTTTCCTGGTACCCCTAAAAAAAATCCTAGGCTGCTAATTCACAGCAAATAGAACTGTGGTGATTAGACAGCAGGGTGTGCATTAAACAGAGAAGCAGCCATGAAATTAGCCATTGTAACTCTTGGGGAGCTGCGAATATCCCCAACTAAAGTGGGAGAAACTCTGCAGGCCTCTAGGAGGCATCTGAAAGATCTGAAAATGGTCACAGATTCATTCCATGGAACCTCACAGCTCTTACATCTTTTTTTGCAAAGAAGGCTGAACTATAGAATATCAGTTTCAAGATGTGGAAAGCTGACAGTTGCATACATGGTTGCCATAAAACTTTCTTCACCAAGTATTCATAGGGCATGAATACAATTGTATGCAACACTTTTTAGATTTGTTTATACAAATGTAATAAAACCAAAACAAAGAAACATGTATAATATTCCCTCAGCTGCCTAATCCTGTATGTGCTTCTTGGTGTTGATCTGTCGCACAGATTCCCCCTTAAAAAAACTTGAAATTTGTGATTGTAATGCAGCTTAGAAAACCCTTTAGGAGTAAGAATACTCTTTCACAGTACAGTATAGGAAGATATCAGCAGCGAGCACCTATGAAACGCTTTGCAGCATTTTTCCAATGAATAAGTAGCACAAAATTAAAAACGGTTCAGAGGTTGTTTTGAAGAGCTACACATCATTAGCTCCTTCCAAAGGAAGCTGATGATCACGGCTCTCGCAGGCAGTCAGTAACTTCTGCTTGTGCTCTTTCCTCGGGTAATATATGGAAATAATGCTGTAGTCATTTTGTGGCAGGTAGAGTCCCGCTGGAGCGAGAGCTGGAATATAATCAGGACTGCTTCCAAACAGGAACGCTGCCGGACACATTAGCGTCCCCTCAAATCTCTGTGGTCTGCTGCACTGATGAAACCTGAATTGTGTGCGATGCATATATATGATAACCATGCCCCCCCCCCCGCATAACACCATGCAGGATTGGTGTTTCACCCACTGGGTGAAGAAGAGTATTAAGCAGCTTCCAGTGCAATTTTGTAACTGTGAATAATAACTCGGTTTTTTCATCATGTGTCAGAAACTGAAATGGGATTACACATACATTAATTAGATTTTCGCTGCATAAATTTGAACATTTTCTGTTCTGTTTATGTGCTAAACATGAAGTGAGTGGCGTACTGTTGAATTCCTGTGGAAAATTGCAAGCTGTGAGCAGCTTTGGCAAACATTTTTGTGCCGTTTTCTCCTGACATTTCTGTGTAAGAGAAAATTCAAAGGTCATTTGCATAGTAAGTTTTGGTTTCTCCTCATAATAAACAGATTTCAGCCCTTTATCAGTTTTACAATGACTAATTGCTGTCTCACAGCCTTCATAGGCTCTATGACAAATTGGTAGCCATAAAAAGAGTTGGAAAGTAAATTCACGTGAAAGCGGCCTCACATGGTGCAGACCAAGCAGGGAGCCGGTTGCCTCATGGCATTCCTAATGATTTAAAACTCCACAGGAGACGTGCAATTAAACTGGTCTCCAGAATCATTAAAGGAGTCTTACATTCTGACCCACTACTTTTAAGGGATCTTTTGCTCGTGTATGCATTAAGGAACCTTTCTTTCTATACATGTGCACCATGAAAGAATTCCTTGTTTGTCATTTTTCAAGTTTGAAAAGTTTACATAAAACCAATCAGTTAATAAGTCAGATGCTGATAGATCAGTTTAAAATGTGCTTTTACACATTTTTGTTTTCCTTTTTTTTTTTTTTACCTTAAATAATATTTATAAAGCTGAAAAGTAATGTCCACCCATTCAAAATGATTACAGACCAAATACTGTCTGCCTCTTTTTCTCTAGTTTCTCAAAACTGAAAAATGTTGCATACTAAATTGCTAGTTGCATTTATCTGCATGAATAGGAAAGATTGGAAAAGCTTTAAAATGAAAGTAATCAACGGTTTAAAATGACAATCTGGGGAAAAATATCCAGTAACTAAAAATTATACTTTATTATTGTTATAGGTTTACGACAATTATCACTGCAAGTCCCTTTAAAGTATTTATTTATTTTTGTAATTTCTAAGGACTTAAAAAATAAGAAATAGGAAATGAAAGTGTATAGAAAAGAACCATCTCTTTATATATATGGTAGGGCTCTGTGATGCTGTGGTCCTGTCTCTCTCCCTTAAATAACTTTGTTAGAAAGCATGGCATACAAATTAGGTTTTTCATGTCTCAATGAGTTTAACAATAGGATTTTTTTCATGTAAACTAATCTTCGTAGCACAGCCAAGACCCCCTCAATAAAACAAGGGTTGGTGGTTAAAACAACCAAAAAGTAGCAGAGACCTCCTCTACCCTTAATGACTGAGCTCAGACTGCTAACGGCCACCTGCTCTCTGTGTAAAGCTGAATGATGATCTATTTCAGAAGCTTCTCCTAGGGTGATTTAAAACCGTGTAAAACCTTGGTAGGCAGTTAGTCTGAGCTCTTGGCTCAGTGAAGCCAGTCTTTTGGCCAGTGAAGCTCTCTTGCTCCCTGTGGAGTGCTGGAGGAAAGCCCACACCCTTCAAGGGAAACTGGCAACGTTAGAGAAGTTGTGGAAAAGCCAGACCTCAAATCGAGTTCAACCCTTGTTTACAAGATGCTGTTATCAGAACACACTTCCTGCATGAGGGAGAAGTGGATCTTAACTTTTGAAGAGCTTGCTTATGGACTGATCCTATCTGCATGACCAAAAGTTCAACTGTAATGTAGCCTGACGAAAAAAGGTCCAAACCCATTGCACCCTTAAAAAATGTCAATAATTGTGAATTTAAAAGCTTTTTATAAATAACAGTCGTAAAAGCCTGCTTTATGTTTCTATTCAGCCCATGGGTCTCTGTTCTGTTGTCCTCCTTTTGTCTCAGTCACATCTGCAGGGGTTTTTACATATCTGCTGGTAACATCTAAATACAACATACTGCCCATTTTTAAAAACTGATCAAGTTGGTTTAGATTGGTTTAAAATGTTTGTTTACATTTTTCATGTCTTGACTGGATGGAGATCTCCCCTTTGATTGGATCATCCCGGATCGTCCCACTGCAGGTCTGACTGGATGTTTAGGGTCAACGTCCTGCTAAAACATGAACATGTGACAGGTTTTCCGTCAGGACTGATCAGTACAGCTCTCCCCCACAGCATGATGCTGCCGTCACCATGCTTCTACAGTAAAAAAAGGTTTGTTTACCATCCTCACAGAGTCTGTTTCTAAAGAACATCCTATTGAAAGAAAATACGTCTCAGATGATCACATGATGCTCCTCCACATGTTACATGTATCTCAAAGCTTCCCTGATCAAGGCCTCTCTGGCCCTGTCTGGACATTTAGTTCCACAAACGCATTTTAGATGGTGTTTTGACCAGTGCTCTGATGTGTTAAAGCTTGTGAAATTGTTTTATGATCCGGATCCTGCCATAAAT